ATGACGGTTTGTAATCATAAAAAATAATAAGAAGAAAAAATTATCAGAAATGTTTCTTGAGCAGCAAATCAGCATATTAGAATGATTTCTGAAGATCATGTGACACTGAAGACTGGAGTAATGATGCTGAAAATTCAGCTTTGATCACAGGAATAAATTATATTTTACAATATATTCACATAGAAAACAGCTGTTTCAAATTGTAATAATATTACACAATATTACACTTTTTACTGTATTTTTGATCAAATAAATGCAGCCTTGGTGAGCAGAAGAAACTTCTTTCAAAAACATCAAAAAAATCTTAATTATTCCAAACTTTTGAAGTGCAGTTGCTAGTGTAGTTTTCACTAGTTTGCAAGTCACATTTTAATTAGAGCTTAAAGTCATTCATACTTCTGTGGTCACTTATAAATATAAAGACATGAAGACTTTTAATTGCCTGTTGTAAAAGCTTTAAAACATGCACTTACTGTTCTTGCCTAGTCTTGTAAAATTCTGAGATTCACCGATAATAACAGCAGGCATTGTGCCTCATACCGAGCAGAAGATGCTCTTATAGGGCTCTAGATCATCATGGGGGGTGGAGGTGATGGACATGAGCATATATAATCAAGAGCACAAAATCTTCTTCCATGTGATTTCCTTGTAACTAGAAGAATTACTGAAGGTCAAGCCACCAGATGTGTGTATGGGTGAGGGTTAAAAATGAAAAGTTTGTGTTGAAAAATAAGTGTTAAAAATGTGTCACAGGCTCTCACTGAACACATTCATAGACTGTCTTTTCATGCATGTTTGCAGAAAAACACAGATCAAATCTTGCACAGGTGAAGTTATATTTCATCCCGTTTCTTTTGCATTTTTACATTATCATTATCATTTATACTCCAGACACTTTTACTATTTTTTCAGCATTTGTCTTGATGTTAAATGAAGGCCACATCACAAAACAGGTAAAACAATTACAATAACAAATGTTTCCATTTTCTTTTTCCTTTTTTTAATAGTCTCACTGAACACATTCATAGACTGTCTTTTCATGCATGTTTGCAGAAAAACACAGATCAAATCTTGCACAGGTGAAGTTATATTTCATCCCGTTTCTTTTGCATTTTTACATTATCATTATCATTTATACTCCAGACACTTTTACTATTTTTTCAGCATTTGTCTTGATGTTAAATGAAGGCCACATCACAAAACAGGTAAAACAATTACAATAACAAATGTTTCCATTTTCTTTTTTTAATATAATTGAATAAATCACCCATTGTGATGTTTCATGTCATTACAAAAACACAAATATGAAGTTGGCTTTTAACTATAAACTTTAAAAACGTCATTTATTTCAAGTAAAAATGCAAAAATACAGTAAAATTAAAGCATTTTAAATGTTAAAATTGAATACAAATATAAAGATGCATCAAAACGTGCAGAATTTTAACACAATCAGTGTGAGCCATATTAACACCACGCATATTAAAAACGCATTAAGTGTTGATTATTTGCAACTGAAAATGACCAGAAACTACTAATTAATGTGCCAATATTACAAAAATATCAAACATTATTTGTATTATCAAAGTAAAATTAAAGTGAAACATACAGATAAAAAATACACAAATACCCATGTTAAAGAGAATTCAACTGACAGCAGAGGAATACATGTAAAGAAAATACAAATAATGTAAGAAAATAAAGTACTATAGAATATTAATATTATATAATGCTATTATATGTGGATATGTGAATACGTTGTTTCTTCAGCCACGTTTGATTTTTAGAAAACAAACACACTCTCTCTATTTTCTTTCATTTTTCCAAAAAAATCTTTTTTTCCCTGATTATTAATTTTTTTTTAAATTAAAATATACAATATTCTTATTGAACATTGATGGAGCAACACATTTTGTGGGAGAAGAAATGATAAAAGTAATGTTTTCTGTAATATCTTCAGTTAAGCTAACTGTTCAAAACTCACACAAAACATGTTCACTTCATGTGCACTTGCGAATGCATGTGTCTGTTAAGTCCATGAGACCGTAAGGTTGGCATTTTATCTTTCAGAAGGGTGCTCGTGAGCCCTCTATGTGCCCTCGATGTGCACTTTCGCCGAGCCCACACTGAGGCGAGCTCCGCAGCAGACTTTTACCCGACAGTCAGAGCAGCATCACTGAGCGTTTATACAGATAAAAAATACACTGCAAAAAAAAAAAAAAAAAAAAGATTCTCTTCCTCAGTATTTTTGTCTTGTTTTTCAGTGCAAATATATAAACACTTAAATTGGGATGCATTTACTTGGGTAGCAACATAACTTAAGATGTTTTTTTTTTTTTTTGGAAAATGAAGTGAGTTCTGATCCCACTGACAGATATTGTTTCTTGTTTTAAGCATAAACAACATTTTTCAGAAGATAAGACAAAGTAAATGTAAAATAATACAACTAAATGTTTAAAAACTCAGCTCTGCTTTATTCTGCCTCACAGAATGCTCTCAGCACAGGTTTTGGTTTGTAACACGTCTGCTGTTGCTCGGAAGAAAGGCGAGATGTTACAGATGTTGAAACGTGTTACAGTAACACCTCCCAATCTCTGTGATTATAATACAGCTTTATCGCTCTATCAATCGCATGATCTGTTTTCTGCAGATGTGGTTTTGTTACACAATCCCAGGGTGTGCTCAGGGTTAAAGACTTCAGGTCTTTTGTGTAGAAGTATAGACTACCAGTCAAACGTTTGGGATAAGTTAGAAATTAATACTTTTATTCAGCAAGGACATATTAAAATGATAAAATGTATCACAGTTTCCACAAAAAAACATTAAGCAGCACAAATGTTAATGTTTTTGTTAATATAATATTAGAATGATTTCTGAAAAATCATGTGACACTGAAGAGTAATGATGCTGAAAATTGTAAACTATATGCAAACTTCTTTTATGTAAAATACCTTATTCAGGTCAGTAAATAATAACATGCATTTTGTATGATCCCTCTTATTTTGGTAAAATAATTAACATTTTGCAGATTCTGCAAGGATCTTTTGACCTCAACTGTATGCACCCTTCTTTGGCTAAGCAGATACTTTTTCCCTAGTGCAGATATTTCCCAATTCAGCGCACTGGTTTTATCTGGTCTTTTTCTCGGTTCCTCTCTCTCTGGACTTTCCACACTAAGTTACAATGTGAACATTCAATTTGAGCTTCCTCTTAATATGTCAGAAAGCTTCACTGCATTGATCAGAAACTCTGCATAAGGCAAGCTATAAAAAGAGAAAGAATTTTCCAAAGCTATACCATCAAATCAGGAAGTGAGAGTAAGAGCATCATTAATGCGCTATTATAATGAGATTTCATCTTCTGCAAGGAGGCTGGGATCGACCCTCAGCTCCTCACGACTCCAGTAATGATGGTTCAGTGTAAACACCACATTTACCGGCTCAGTCACGGTGAAAGTGAAACTTTAACGAAGCATAGTGCTTAAAAGCCATGTTAAAATGAAATGTTTACAGCCACAAGCAGCTGTTAGAAAACATATAGATTGAGGATTTTCTAGAAGCAAGGATAAAATAACACTTTATGTACCCATCCTAACAAAACGATAGCTGAAATGTACTTTATTCACTAAAATAAGTTTCATCTTACCATATCCAAAAACTCGCTCACTCTGCTGTTATTTAATAGATTAATTGCACTAGAATTTTATTGAATAGTACGTGGATACACGTTTTTAATTAAAATATTCATATTAATCAAAGATTTATTTACTTTTAATGCACCTTATTTCGAAATGTACAGAAATACTTGCTTTCATATGTCTTTAAGTTATGATTATTGCAATATATGGTTTTGTTGCATGGCATCTGTTTTGTGTGAGTTCCTAACACTTGGTTTCACGAGGAGATAATTTCATAAGGAAATCGTTTCACTCCTTACAGTGTCTTTCTTAATAAACCACAATTTTTTCAAATAAAAACAATTACAGTAACATGCGGTTAATTACAATACAAAGGTATTACATGTAAAGAAAAGGCAAACTTGCAATAAGACAATTGCATATTTTCCTCAACAATATATATATATATATATATATATATGGTTTGATTGCTTCTATTGTCCTCATTTGTAAATCGCTTTGGATAAAAGTGTCTGCTAATTGACTAAATGTAAATGTAATGTAACTGTAAATGAATCCAGCATTTTTCAATAATGAGCTTTAATTCTAAAGAAAATTTGGCCAATACCAATGACTTACACACCAGTAAAGACTATAAATACCACTGTTAGCAACTTTTCAGGCAGGACTGTGTAACTTGAATGTTGACTCTGTTGTTTTACAGATGAGTGCATCCAAACTCCAGGAAAGGTCTGTACTCCTTCTCAGATTCCAGCATTATACAGTTGCAATCAAAATGATTCAGCCCCCTTGACCTGCAAGACATTTTGCTGCAGAAAACAAAACTTTATGAAAACAATTCAACCAAAGCGTCAGTACATACTATAAGAGAAAGTTTATTAACACACATTTGAGTGTGTTAATAAAAATGAAAAAATCTAATTGGCTCTAAACATTCAAGTACAAAATTATTCAATTTTAACATTTTAAATTTTAAGTACTTAGAAGCTTCTGTCACCCCTCTACTGCAATCTTGACTAATTCCTCACTGGAAAAAGCTTCCAGATCACTGATAATCTTTGGTTTTCATGTTGCTACCAAATATTTTCATTGAGATTTTAATCTGAAGACTGAACAATTCTACGGCTGATCCCTGAACCAAGCTTACAGGTGCATCTCAATAAATTAGAACTTGAAAAAATCGAAGCGTTTCAGAATGGCGGGGCATAGAGGAGAAACAATAATGTACAGTATGTGGAAAATAATGTGTTTTTTTAACCTTAAACCGCATAAACACATTTCATTACACCAAATACACAAAATAATGTTCTTTTTAGCAGCATCATATGACCCCTTTAAGTATCAGGTCATTTTAGCAAGAATTGTGATGCCTTCAGTGCTTGAAGATCAATGGACTCTCCTGCAGGACAGCCATCCCAAAGTACACGTCCACATCTACCTACAGGTGCATCTCAATAAGAAGAGGCGGCGGGCTGAGTGAGAAGAGGCGGCGGGCTGAGTGAGTAGATAGTTCACCCAAAAATGAAAATTACCCCATGATTTACTGCCCCTCAAGCCACCCTAGTGTATATGGCTTTCTTCTTTCAGATAAATACAATCAGAGTTATATTAAATAATGTCCTGGCTCTTCCAAGCTTTATAATGTGTTTAATGTAAAGGTGTTTCCTTCAGGGTCTGGTGTTGGAATATAAACATAATGTTATTTAGATTTATAAATTAATGTAAAAACTGCCTCATGTACAGTTTACATGTTTGCATTTTATTTGAGTGTTTATTATAATATCTAAAAATAAATGGCAGTTGAATTTAATTGTTTGGGCTCTGTTGTAATTGTAACCTTTAATATTATTGTAAAGAGCAAGTAATTGGGCTTCCTGTATAGTTTACAGCATTAGCTGAGGTAGATTTTTCATCCTTAAGAATTATTCATTATAATTGAACTTATTTAAAGACAGAGGCATATTTTGTTTAGTAAACCACCGTTTAATAAAAAAGCAGTTTTACAGTTTTTCCCCCCTGCTGTACCAACCATGTACCGAACCATGACTTTGATACTGAGCCGTCATGTTTGTGTACCATTAAACCGCTAGTATCTTCCTGTCTGTTCTTTCTTGAAATTACCTACAAATGGCGTTGTTGCTGATGAACGTCAAATGTTTCCCAAGTCAAACCGTGTGCATTTCAGGATGCAGTGCCAAACATTGCATTACTGGGTTCTGGAGGAGGACAAAGAGCCATGGTGGGTTTGCTGGGATCCCTGGTTCAGCTTGATAAAGCGGGTCTTCTGGACTGCATCCTTTATCTGAGCGGAGTCTCTGGATCCACCTGGTACGAACCCTGACAAACAACAAACACAGAGAGACTGAATTGGGTTGAATGTCAAAAATGAGAGCAGTATGTTCTTCTCTGAAGGTGCATGGCCTCCTTATACCAAGAACCAAACTGGTCCACCAAACTAGAGACCGTTAAGGACCAAATCATCAAGAGACTCACCGGTCCAGGAGTCATCTGGGGAGACTCATGTAAAACACTGAAGGAATATTATGATGGTAAAGACAAATTCAGCTTGACAGACGTCTGGGCAGTGTTGGTCATCACAGAATATGTGAAAGAGGTATGTAATTATTCATAACTATACACCATACTCTGCTATAGGAAATATACATGCAACAGGGTCCAAAGTCTGAAACCACATTGAATATCTGAGATTTAAAGGCTAATCTGAATTTAACTGAACTGAACTGAATCATAGCTGAGAATGAATTGGTGAATTGGTATTATTGTTGATGTTATCTTCATAAAATCTCACTCACTGTAAAAATGAAGAGTTGCAGGTTCTTATGGACGGCATTCTGTAAGTTTCTCTGAGATGTTATATATTCTCTTCAGATTGACAAATGCAAACTCTCAGATCAACGGGACCAGCACAATGAAGACCCGTTTCCCATCTACACAGTGACTGACAAGCAATACAAACAGAGCAAAGATGAGAAAGGTCTGTGTTGGTGTCTGAAAGAATTAAAGTGAGTTAATGTGCTCGTGTCAGCTGTTATATGGTTGTGTTTTCTGTCTGCAGACTCCTGGTTTGAGATCAGTCCACATGAAGCAGGTTATTCCCTCACTGGAGCTTTTGTGGGAACCTCCAGCTTCGGCAGCCAGTTTGACAACGGCTCAAATAAAAACCCTGAGCCTGAAATGGACATGCTGTACCTGCAAGGTAACAAACTTTGTCACAGGAGAGTTTACTAATATTTGCAACATTACAGTTAGAAATGCTAAAAATCATTTTAACAGCACAGAGAGTTTTACGACATAAAATTTCTCCCTACAGAGTGATAAAAAAAACTTGGTCCTGCAGAGACCAGCTCCATCTTGGCTCAACACACCTGCCTGGAAGTTTCTAGTATGGCTAGTAAGAGCTTGATTAGCTGGTTCAGGTGTGTTTAATTATGAAGCTAAACTCTGCAGGACACTGCCCTCCAGGACCGAGTTTGGAGACCCCTGCATTAGACTGTTATATTGTATATTTTGTTTTAAAATCATGTTTTTTATTCATTTATTTTAAACACTTTTAAACATACATGTATTTTCTGCAGCTCTGTGTGGCAGCGCTTTAGCTGATGGACATGAGAACATTAAATTCATCTGGCAAAAAATAAAAGGTGAAGCTGCATTTCAAGATTCACTTCTGCATAAAGTTGACAGTCATTTCATTATCATGTGAACTGCGATTCCATTTGATTTTTCCCCTCAGATTTCTTTAAACATTTATTTCCTATAATGCAATCGGAGATGTTTGATGAAATGAGGAAAGGTAAAGCATTTCTTTGCATTGCTGCCTTTATTTATGGATAAGTTTGATATTTTCGTCTACTGATCTGTTCGCGCTTCCTGCTGACAAATACAATGTGAAACTCTATAAAGGTGAAAAATAAAAGATGAGCTATAATGATGATAATCTGTAATCTGATTTTAAAGATTGTTAGTGACCCATAATTAATTCCATATCACTTGCTAGGTATAAATATATACTGTAGTAACATTTTACAATAAAGTTCCATTTTCCAATGAAAAATACTTTTTTTTTTATCATCTAATTTCAACATTTACTAATACATTATTAAAATCAAAAGTTGTATCTGTTAATATTATTCAATGGACCTGAGCTAACCTGAGCTAACAATTAACTGTTGTATTTTTACTAACATTGCTAACTTAATAAATACTGTAACATATCGCTAATGCATCTTATTGTAAAGTGTTACTGAATAGATCATGAGAATGTCATCAAATTCATTTTAGCTTAAAATCAAAGCATCTTAAATGGCTTTTGGACAATGCTGTGTGTATGTTTGCTTGTTCTTGTGGGAAACTCCCGATATCTGAACATGATGAATTACATTCAAGACATTCTGCAGTGTGTTCGTGTTTGTTCAGTGTGTGTTTCCTTCAAAATACCCAAAAGCCCCACCTGCAGAAAAGGGTTACCAGGTGCTCATGGATCTTGTGGACATGAATCTCGCTGTTTTGAATGGCAAAGAACCTTCTGCTTTTGAGCAATCCATCAGAACAACGCTGAATGGTAAGAGTGTGTTACAATTCATATAGAGGAGACTAGTTTAGTTCATTTAAGAGTCTAGTTATCAGTTTCTGAAAAGACACAATCAAAACAGTTATTTAACATTAATGACAGTAATTATCCAGAATTTAACACAGTGAGGACAGTTTGATGGCAATTAAATCAAGGCTGTGCAGGCGTACGATCTCTTCAGTGTGTTGAAATGTTCTAGATGACTTTTTTTCGTCAGCTGAAAGACAGAATGACTGTCATATGGCTGAATGACAAAATGCAAGTTTTCATTTGAGAAGAATACCATTTTGTTTAATCTCAAATGCTTTTGAAATAAAGAGGCTACATTTCGTACCTGTAATTAAAAGGTCTCGTCTTTTCAGCAACATTTAAACAGTTAAACATGAAAAACAAACTAATGGATGAAACTGTAAAACTGAAACATGCAAAAACATCTCATGAACACAAGACACACAAACTAGAAGTATATGTTGTCAGATAACTAGAACTCAATAATGTCCATGTTTCCATCTTTTACAGAGCTCGGTGGAGGCAAAAAGCTGATTTGTACTACAGAAAAACTGAATCTCGCTGATAAACAAGCTGCAAAACTGTATATGAAGCAATACACTGAGGATGCATGCAATAATTTGAGTAGTTGGTTCAGTTCCTGGCCTTTCAGTAGGTTTAATTGTCTCTACAATCTATTTGATTTGTACAATGTATGTCTTTTTTTATTTTCTAACCAGATTAATATGTGAACTGAGAAGTGCTTTACTCTGAAAGCTTCCAAAACAGACTGATTCCACAAAATAACCTTTTCTTAAAACATAAAGCTGAAGAAACAAATGAAACATCATAAACCTTTTTAATCTCCAAAAAAAAATATAGTCAGCTGAAAAACAATATACAGAATGAAAAAAAAACAACAACAATGTAATTTACTACATTTAAGAACCACTGTGCATTTGTTTTACAGAAGTTTGGATTAAGATTTGTAAATGCATGGCTCAGTGGGTCTGGGGCAGGAAATATGACTTTCTCCACAACATGGACGGTGAGAACAGACCCGTTTGTAAATTTGCAATTCAATATGAAAAATAAACTGATTTCATGCTGTGATTCCTCCAGATAAAACCATGCCTTCTACTCTTCTGAAAAGTGAGAGGAGAGACTATGAAGACGCCGGACTGTTGCTGAACTCGCCCTACTTCTCAATGCTGAGAGAAGAAAGAAATATTGATCTCATAATTTCCCTGGATTTCAGTGAAGGCAATCCTTTCATGGTATTATACATACATATAGCACATACTATAATAAAGGTTAAAGGAATAGATCACCTATAAATGATCTTTTACTCTCCCCTCATGTAGTTTAAAACCCCCATGACTTTCTTTCTTCAGTAGAAAACAACAGGAATAATCATGCTGCTTTTTTCCTCATTCATCGTGACCACCAGAGGTCCCACTTACCTTAAAAAAAAAACATTGACAGACAATTACAGATTCTGTTTATAATTTAAACTGCTAAAACAAAACAAGAAAGAAAACCATATAAACAAAAGTGTATATGATTTCATTTTAACCATATTTATCAATAATACCTGGAGAGAGCATTTCCATTCATCTCAAACTTATGATTTCAGTGAATAATAACTTGCATTTCAACTGAAATGTTTCTCTCACCCTTTTAATGAAGTGATACTGCTATGCTTTTCCACTGCAGACAGTGAGAGGAGCTGCTGATATGTGCAAGAAACTGAAGATCCCTTTCCCTGAAGTCAACATTCCCAGTGAAGACGTGGAGAAACCAAAGGACTTCTATGTGTTTAAAGGCAAAAACGCTCCAACCGTGATTCACATCCCTCTGTTTAATGTGGTCAACTGTGGAGGCAAGTCCAGATTGTCTAATTGAATAAAAATGAAACATCAACTATTCAATTCAATTCAAGTTTATTTGTATAGAGCTTTTCACGATACAAATAGTTGCAAAGCAACTTTACAGAAAATTAAGTTTCTACAATATTTAGTAGTAGCTTATCAGTAGTGCCTGTCAGTTAATGTACATATGGCAGAAATGTACGGAAAAATCAATTAAAGATGAACTAGAGAACTATGTTCTCATTTAAGTGTTCTACTCTTTCTTCAGATAATATTGAGGCCTGGAGGAAAAATTTTTAACTTTCTGCAATATATGTAGTAGTAGCTTATCTTATATATTTAGTAGTGCCTGTCAGTTAATGTACATATGGCAGAAATGTACGGAAAAATCAATTAAAGATGAACTAGAGAACTATGTTCTCATTTAAGTGTTCTACTCTTTCTTCAGATAATATTGAGGCCTGGAGGAAAAATTATAGGACCGTTCAAGGTTCTTACAGCGCTGAGATGATCACTGATCTTATGGACGTCGCTGGAAAAAACATCTCAAACAACAGAGAGAAACTGAAGGAGCAGATTCAAGCAGTCATTGAGCAAAAATTACACAAATAATGAGTTGAATAATAAGTCCTTACTGTTTGTTTTAATTGTGTGTGTGTGTGTGTGTGTGTGTGTGTGTGTGTGTGTGTGTGTGTGTGTGTGTGTGTGAATTCCGTACACTTTGTCACTTAATGTTGACACATTTTTTAGGTTAAATAAATGATCATTACTTACACTATCAAGGAGAAAACACCAACTAATGCTCTGTTTATTAAAAAAGTATATTTCTCATCAATTTAGTGCTTTACAAGCTTTTTTACATTTATGTCAAACTAATAACTAAGAAATTTCATATTCCATGCATATTTGTTAACTGCTATTCGTCTGTTCTTTTCAGTAGTCAAATAATTTTCAGATCATCAGTCATCAAAGCTCGGTAAACATTGTAAGTGTCATGTACTTTTATTTCACCAAGCTGATTTCTCTCTAAAAACGCAAAAAAAAAAGTGTTTTCAAGTCATTTCAAAGCTGAATGTGACCTGACATACATCTAACTGAATTGTTGACTTACCTTTTAATTAGGCTTCTCATTAACACCATAATTTGTTTATTCAGACCGATTTGAGGATGCAGAACGTGCATGGAAATGAGAGGCGGGGTTTATCAGCCAATCACAACTCTTTTCTGTTTAATATGTTAAACACTGTTCTGTACGTTTCGGTCTGTTCCTTAATGCTTGACTTTCATTAAGCAAATAGATTATCATTAATAATCAAATCAACCATACCACAGACAACTATGATTGCTTCTGTTTCAATTAATTAATAAACTGTTTTCTAAAAATAAGGTTTTGTCCTAGTCATTTGATTTCAAACAGCAAAATGCTCATTATTGTAAAATAATTACAAACTCCATGATGAGAGCAGACGCACGTGTTTCTGGAGAATCTCTATTCTATGGTGTCCAAGAAACTGGGTTAACTTTCACAGTTAAGAATGTGTTGGTTTGTGTTTTTAATACACTCTAAAAAATGCTGGGTTGTTTCAACCCAACTTTG